AGAGAGAGAAAGAGAAAGAGAGAGAGAGAGAAAGAGAGAGAGAGAGAGAAAGAGAGAGGGAGAGGCGAGAAAGAGAGAGGGAGAGGCGAGAAAGAGAGAGGGGGGGGAAGAAAGAGAGGGGAGGAAGACAAGGTGAGGAGGAAATAGAAATAGCGAAATGAGTGGGAGAGAAGGAAGAAAGATCAATCCTGTCCATATCAGTTTATTGGTACGAGTATATTGAAATTAAGCCATTATGTTATAATAGGACAGCAGGAAAGTTGATATCTACCTGATAGATAATTGACATTTTTACCCCTCAGCTTCCTATACCTTTTCCATATCGACCTACACATTAATTAAACTGCCATATAAACCCAGACAAAGCCCCCTTCCAGAGCACCGTCCATTCAAGGCGCCCGTTATCAGTCCTCTTTTGTAGATCACAACAGAGTCCTTGGCGGCGGTCGGGATCAGACACTGAAGGGGTGCTCCCGAGAAGCGGCTTTGGCTGGGGTTTCTCTTAGCAGTGAGGTCAGATAACTGTGCGACTTGCGGAGTTTGCTACTACTGCTTGCGGGAGGGTTTGGTGGCGGGTAGTAGTAGCAGGCGGTTGGGGAGGAAGGAAGTTGAAGCAGAAGGGACTCAGGGAGTTGTTTTGGCACCGCAGGACATCTCTCGTGGGTGTTCCTGTAGCTACTGTTGACATGCGCGTCCAGCGGTGTGTTTTCGGACCATTTTTTCTTTCTTTTCTTTTCAGTATTTTGTTATTTAAGTTCTCATGTAGATCATAAACATCGATATATTCACTTAAATGCACTTCAGTTATGAGGTGCAATGCATTGACGTAGATATATCGATGCTCGTATTTTTGATGAAGGTTTAAATGGACATAAGACTAAATAAACGTTTTGTCGGACAGTTGGTCTAAGGCCCCCTTTAGACGCGCTAACTTTCATAGGTTCGCGTTTTTTTTTCTTTTGTCGGTCTGGGAAATGGAAGATGGGTTTGTGTGGGTACGTAGATAGGCCTTTTGGCAAGAGACGAGCAGGCGAGGAGTTACGGAAAGGGAAATGAACTGCCAGGTACTCCAGAGACGGGTAAGAAGGGCTGACTGTCAAGCAGGTAAACGGCCACACAGCGTTGGGTGAACACTGCTCGCAGAGTTTTGCTCCTTGTACCCTAATACCAGATTTTATTTATTTTTAGACTACTTTCTCTGACCCGAGATTGGCCAAAACCAGTCCAGTACTCCCCAGTGTCTAGACCAGTTTAGTCGTACCTGTTTAGGGTTTGGTAAATGCCATTGTTCAGTGAGGGACGCCTGCCGTATCCGGGTTGAATTGAGGTAAATGACGAGATAAATACTGCGTGATAAAGGGCAACAAAACAAAGTGATAAGCACGGAACAAGATGTTGAATTAGTGAACATCTTGTAGGTTTGATAAAGACCTCGGTCATAAATAGATAAAGGGTAATACTTGGAGGTTATAAATATTCATAATGAGGCGTTTCCATCCAAGTTCAAGACGTTGAAAAGATTTTTTGTTCGCGTCAATTTGGTCAGAATACCGATACCAGTCATTATTTTGTAACCCTTTTGGTCAGGAGTTTGTGCATTTCAGTCCCTGTACACAAAACCTGAAGTCTAATAAGCTCATTTCCCTTATCAAAGACACACAATGACGTTAACAAAGATGAAATGAAACAGAGCCACTGGAAGAAAGGGACAATAAGTGGTGACTTAGATCATTAGACGGTAGTAACAATATTATATTATCGGTTTTATTGTCTGATATCAATTTTGCATTCCTCTGTATAATGGCTGTATTTGATTTCAGCTTCATGCACCTTACCTGTGCACCGGTTCCTCATTTCCCTTACCCGTGTCCACTTACCTTGCCCAGGTACCTTGTATGCGTGTTAACCTTGGAATATTTCCTGCGCGTTACTGTCAGCAAAGACCATGTGTTATATTTTCACGAAACGCCCTCGCAACAGCAACCGCCATGCAAGTTTTATCACGAGGATCAGGAGAGAAGTATTGTGGGAGGTGTCAGATAAAGGACATCAAGAGCAGGGAGTCGGATTGATAAGAGTGCTGCCAAGGTGGATGGTAGGTCACGTGGTCATTCTAAGAGCCAATAGAGTTGACTTTAGTGGTCGCTGAGGAATTAATGAATGGCATCGGAATACTTGCGTTAGGGGAAGCCGTCAGGAGTTTGCGTGGCTTTTCAAAACGAATTCGTAAGTTTCACAAGTTTGATGAGGTCCTTAATGCGTCGAAAGATGATTAAATTAGAATACTTATTTTTAGTTTTAGTTTATTGTGGAGAGGAAGGAAGGAGGAAGATCGACTGTACTCTGCAGCAGTGTGCCGCGTGTGGAGCTGTCAGGTTGGGGTCAGGCTGGGGTCGATTCAAGGCGCGCCGGTTGGGGTAGTGGGGGAGAAAACTCGGCCGCAGGAGAGGGGGTAGCAAGGGCTTTAGTATGGTTTGTAAAGGAAGGAAGGAAGGAAGGAAGAATAACAACAGCGGTTACTTATGACGTCAAACAGTAATTTGTTACTATGATTATTAATTAAGGAAGAGTTCTTTCTTGTCATTTAGAAATTATTATCTGAGATTATTGGTTTAGATTTAGTTGCAGCATTTTAGAATTCGGTACATTTAGATTTTGGATTTTACGTGCAGTTGAATATATTTAAAAAGTTGCACAAGGGATCATGGTAGACCCTACCACCCCACTTGTCTGCTGTGCCGAGAAAGTAAGCATATTTTCATAGAAATCTGAGGTATGCTGGTAGTACTTGCACTTTGTTTGATTATGTCATGTCCTCCTCTGGTCTTATAATGATTTTGATTGCGTTGAATAAATGGTACGTTTACTTATATAGTTATTGCACAGTTGACACCGTTTAAAGATTTATTCGATAGCCTACATCATAAATCGCTGAGAAAACACACTTGATTAAAATTTCATAAGTAAAACGCGTTGAAAGTGACATACTGACTGAGGCCTCTTTTGTTCACACTAAATATAGTGCTGCAGAAAAGAACCTTTTTCACTTTCATTCGCTTATTTGTCGTCGCTGGTGGGAAACATGGTCCATGTTGAGCATAAAGACACGTTTATTGTAATATTCGTAAATATCTTTGATGCGGTGACATGAAAGCGCGACCGTTTACGATAGCCTGGACTTTCTTTTAGGACGAGAGTTATCGTGCGTAGGAGCTTTATTTTGAGATCTGAGTCGTCTTCTCTATGGGAAATGAAGACATACTGCAATACACATATTTCCTTCCCAGTCCGATAAAAAGCGCAAAGTCGACACGGATGATCGACCTCTTTATCTGTTGATAGAGTTTTTTCGTTGATATCTCGTTTATACTAATCCCGGCGAAGAAACTGTGAGGAATATTAGATTTTAAAAGTTACTCAGTGCTTGTGACGCCGGTTCCATTTCTGCTTACCAACCTTGTCCATATCAGCGAAGTAGGTGCCACGGCTGATAATTTCAAATAATTTATCAGTGTTAGCTTCCCTTTGTCGGGTCTGTCTCCTTGTTTGTGTGTAAAGGGAGCTGAAAGGGGTTCCCAAGGCGGCATATATATATATATATATATATATATATATATATATATATATATATATATATATATATATAGTGTGTGTGTGTGTGTGTGTGTGTGTGTGTGTGTGTGTGTGTGTGTGTGTGTGTGTGTGTGTGTGTGTGTGTGTGTGTGTGTGTGTGTGTGTGTGTGTTGTGTGTATGTGTATGTATATATATGTATATACATATATGTATGTATGTATATGTGTATGCATGTATATATATGTATATATGTATGTATTTATGTATGTATGTACTTATGTATGTATGTATATATATATGTATGTATATTTGTATATATAGATAGATAGATAGATAGATAAGTCAGAA